ACAAATAAATAATTTCCTATTCTATAACTCAATAGAAATATGTTGCTTGTTCTTCAAGCTTAATCCAACATTATAAACACATAAAAGTGGACCTTCATGATGTTGAATTTAAACGCTTAAATCATGTCAAGCGTGGTCCAACTTTGGTTCATATCCAACAAGGTTCTTTGGGGATAGGCACATGGAAAGTAGCACCAGTCACCAAGTTTTCATGATATTTGATAAATTAAAATGTATGTCTTGCTACTCCATAATGTTTTAGTTTCCCATACAATTCCAATTCTATTTCTTCTGCCACTGGAACAGTATCTTTGGTTTATCTCTTATTAAATAAGCAAGTCTTGTCCTTGGAAATCGACAATACCACTGACGACAATTATGATTTGTGATAGATCTTGAATGATCTTAATAATTTGGCTCACCTTAGCTTTTATTTCACATTGAGCTTAATTAGTATCCTTTTTCACATGTTTATAGAGTTGTAAATTAGACATATGGATTTATGGTGTCTTGTCCCATCCACATCAAATGCACAGTTTTCACAAATCGGTTCATGTGATCAGTTATCAAGGACCTAGGGTTCACAGAAGAATATTTATAATAATTCAACATTTGTATTTGGTAATAATCATTGTAAAAGTATAGGTCAATTGTGAGAAAGAAAGAAAAAAAAAGATTCTTCGTTGTGTATTATGTGAACACCAAGACCAGTGACATATAACAGAGATGAAAGAAAATTTCATCTTTAATTTGGCTATATACGGGAAAGGTTTAAGAAATTTATCAGGAAATATAAGCTTTACTAATCTGAAATTTGTGAGTAAAAGAAACCTACTAGCCCTTGCAAGATAACTTGGAATCACAAGAAAATAGAGTTACTTGCGTGACAAGAGAATTAATTCTGCACCACAATTTCTGTCGTATTGGTGAACAAAACAAAATACATCTTCCTTCAACAAGTAAAAAATCGTGGAATACCATTGCCAACTGCATTCCACGATGTTGTAGTTGTAGGATCGTGAAAATGTAGATTGAAAATCACAAAACAAAAGAAATATAGAAGCGACAATACAAGGTATCAAACGTTTAAGAAATCATGAGAAAATATACGAATTTACAGAATCAAGATTTAATCTCTTTCCTTAACTCAATAAATCGTTTTTAATGTGTGACGGTTCTATGCGATTTTTGAGTCGCAGGATACAACCGTGATGAGACCAGGATATAACCGTGATGAGACCGTTTGCACCATCCAAAACGGAAGACTTTCCAGACGACTTAATTATAAGTCTTCTCATAAGTCATCCAGCTGGAAAATTTTCCAGACAACTTAATTATAAGTCTTCTACTAAGTCTTCCAGTTAGAAGACTTTCCAGACGACTTAATTATAAGTTTTCTGCGAAATCTTTTAGTAAATACTTGTCTGCAGATAGCATATGCGTCCTTTGCCACCCATGTAAGCCAGTATCGGTGGAGATGTACCATAATTAGTACACAATTTCGGCAGAGCTGTGCACCCCTAGACCTAGAGAGCATGTATAAACCCATCAATAGTGTAACAACCCGCAATATCTTTGTCATTCACAAAGTCCATCATCACCTTAAACGCGACTCTCCCCCATGGATAATTCTCAAACCGTTCTAACTCCATCACTAACCTTGCTAGACTAACCCGTGTAGGGGTTGAATATTTTCTCTCTCCAATGTATCCAGTGAAGATGGCAAGGTATCCGAGCCGCTTGCAATCATCCCGAGACCACCCTCCGCATCTCTCAAATGCTGTTATTATCTACTGAGTAGATGGCCCAACTTCGGAATGAACTCCCAACATCTACCAGAAAGAAGCCATCTCCTTTGTAACAACACAGTTTAGTCTCTCAAGGTCCTCGATGTACTCGCAGTTTAGACCAGTGAGGTTTTCAAACTCTAACAGTGAAAACCTTAAAGAATGTGGACCAACGAGACTCCACAGCTTATACTTCTTCTTTATGTCGAGCTGGAAACCGAGCATGTAGTGAACCAGCCTTGAAGCCCAAAAAAATCCCAGCTCTTTGAACTTGATAAAAACTCCCAACTTCTACTCCTTCAGCTCTTCATATTCGTCATCATGAAGAGCATTCCTTAAAGCAGTATGCAACTTCGAACAATCCGTATGATACAAAATGCTATTCATTGCAAGGGGGGGGGGGCTCTTCCCCTAATGTATGTATCCTACGGGGGAGTTCTGGAATATTCATTTTTTTCCTGAAAAACAATCAAAGACAACCATCTCAAGCACACAACCATCCAGTATAACATTTTAATTATAAGTCTCGAAGACTTTCCAGATGACTTATAACTAAGTCGTCAGAAAAGTCTTCCAAGACTTCCAATAGAACATTTTAAAGTCAACCTGAAAATTTGGAGAAGATATAGTCGCCTTCGATACAGCGGTTATAGATCTGAGAAAATAGACTTGAAAAAAGAAGCGCGGTGAGAACGACGGTGAGAACGAGTATAGATACACCTAAAGTCATAAATTGATAGAGACAACGTTTTATGTTCATCTTTTCCTCAATCAATCACTCGACTGTAAGAGATATAACTTAACGGCGGCGGAGTTCAACGAGATGCCTCTGAGAGAAATGGTGCTAGGGTTTACACTTTACAGAGAACCGGCAGTGCGACGAGACGCGAAACGGCGCTAGGGTTTACAAAGAAACGACGCTACGGTTTCGTCTCAGATCTGAAATAGGGAAGTGGTGGTGAGAACAGTGGTGAGAACGACAGTGATAATGGCTGAGAGATAACCCGTGGAGAGATAATCGGTAGTGAGAACGATCGATTAGAGAGAATCGACATAAATCGCCTCTTAGAAAAACGCATGTTCGTTATAAATTCAAATTAAACTTAAATAGTGTTTACTATACACAAAAATAAACTTACTTAGTTTTCCAAAATCTAACCCTAAGAACACATATAATACTACAACATATGTTGGCAAAACCTAAACTAAAGAATATCATGACTCGCTATTTTCACTCGTATATGTTGAAAATAATTAGATTTTGTTTTATCTTAATTTATTTCAATTTTTCACTTACCAAAATATTTTTTACAAAAATTTAAATTATTTTTAAGAAGAACTATAATAGACGACTTTCAAATAAGTCATCTGGACATACGACTTGCGGGGGTTAGAAACGTAAAAAAAAATCGGTTTTTTTGTTTGCTCACAAAAGGCTGATCGTAATTTTAATAGTCTTTTCGGTTATGTTATTTGATTCAAGTTTGGGTTTACTTTTTCATTCAAAATTATATTGTGAGTCATATGTAGAAATTTTCCCAACAATCAATTTCCCTTTTTGTAATTCAAAAGTCAGGAAATTTTATATATTAAAACGGAAGTCACAACATTAATTCATGTGTGATTTTTTATTAAGATGAACAATTTATTAGAAAGATTATCAAATGTTACATAATTTAATGATAATATGTTTAAGTATCTTTATATTTATATTTTGAAATAAAAATGAAATAAATCCAACAAAATCTTTTTAGAATCTTTTTAAATTGTATTTTCGTAAATTATTTAATTTAAATTATAGTTATCATAAAACATCTTTAAAAATTATTATTTTATTTATAAATTTAAATTAAAATTTGTCTAAAATGTTTTAATTGTATTTTAATGAGGAAATAATATAAATTGATGGAGTTTCGAAAACGTATTTACAAAATTTAAATAGATTATGTTAGAAACAAATACTGGAATTCTATTTCAAATGTAAAAAAATACTATATTATATATTTATCTATCTATACTATTAAAACAAATTCATGAGTTATTTCATGTATATATTTTTTTATCTGGACCATTTTTTAAAACAATTATCAGATTTTACATAATTTAATTATAATATCATCCCATATCTAAATATTTTATTTGAAATGCAAAATTTTTGTTTAATAAATTAGATTTTGACCCACACAGATATTTTATTTTATAAATATAAATTTTTCTTAGTATTATAAAAAATAAACATATGATTTAGATTAATGTTATATATTATATAAATCTATAATTTTGATGTTTAAGTTTCTTATTCGTCATTATTAATATATAGTAATTTGTTTTATATATTTTAATTTTTATTCTTATTTATTGAAATATTTTTTAGTTTGATACATAAATTTTAATTTGAAATAATCAAATATATAATCTTTATTAAAATAGAGTTTTAGTTTCTGCAATTTACATATAATATATTTTAACATTTATTTAGATATACTATAGATAAATATTTGTTAATGATAATTTATATTTCATGTTGTGTTTGAAAATGATACTTTAACATCTACCACTTTAGTATTTTAAGAGATTTTATAAGTAATATATTGTTACTTATTGATAATTTTTTTAATAAATTATAAATAAAATAAAAATCTGTACGGTTGTGCAGATCAACATCTAGTTCTTTATTAAATTTTATATTCTTTGACCCTAAAGGCCTAACTTATCCCACTCCAAAAAAAAAATTGCTATATCTACTTACTATGTTGATGGAGGAATTTGTATATCGTAAACTATAGACAAATTTATGTAGAAAATGTCAATTTGTTCAACACAACTTTGTGTGCTTTCTTTATCACGTAGTTTTCTTTTGTAATTCATTAATCACACAAGACATTTTTCTTTTCTCAGAAGAATGTAATTCGAAATCTGTTTTGGTGTAAGTGTCAACTTGCAAATATTGAAGACATCACTTACTCCCGTAACAAGACATCATGCAGCAAAATCCGTTTCTTATAGAACCGCAGGCCCACAAGTCCAAATTTTGAGCTGAATCCAAGGAGAATAAACCCACATTAGAAGCGTTTTAAATGGGCGAGTTTCGTACAGACAACACTAGGGTTTCATACACATACAGCACTAGGTTACAAGGGTTTTAATATATATATACAACCAAATTTAAAAGTTCTAAAGCACGGTTTTGATCTCAAAACTCTCTGCATAAAGATGCTGATCAAGAGGAGACTCATGTTAAATATGATGAAGAGGAGGAGGAGGATAAGATCTTTGACGACAGAAAAAATGAAGAAGAGAAGAAACACAGTATATCTTCCCGAGGATTTGCTTGTGGATATACTCTCTAGGGTTCCGGAGGCTTCACTGGCACGGTTCCGATGTACCTCAAAAGGGTGGGATGCTCTTATAAAAAAAGATAAGAGACTTGCGAAGAACAACTCTCTTTTTGTCATGGTAATTTATAGTAAGGTCTATTTAGTTAGGCTTAATCTCCACGGCATCCACGACAACAACGCTGAAAAGGTAATAAGTCAGTTCAGCCTGCTTAGTAACCCTCTTTCAGATTCTTCTTTGAAAGTAGTGGGTATACGCCATGTCTTTCACTTGGAAGGCCTATTGCTATGCACCACCATGGACGAAAGACTGGTTGTTTGGAATCCATGTTCAGGGGAAACCATTAGGATTATCAAACCGTTAAATTTCGACTGTCATACCAATACTTACGCTCTCGGTAAATCCACATGCAACAACGAGTACAAAATCCTGAGGGTGCATCATAATGGATATGGTTACTGGCCGCAAAGCCTAGTTACGTACGAAATCTATGACTTCGCATCTAATTCGTGGAGGGTTGTTGGTGCGACTAGAGACTGGTTCATTCCAGGGCTCTGGCGAGATGGCACGTCTGTGGATGGAAATACTTACTGGCTTACTGATACTTGTTCTCCAACGGGGATGAGGAATGCTGCCTTACAATGTTTTGATTATTCAACAGAGAGGTTTGGTTGTTCTCTTCCGGTCGATCCTCTTTCTTATAAGGTTATTGCTTTATCAGTGACTATAGAAGAGCGAAATCTTTGTATCTTAACTTCTTCACGTGATAAGGAGGTCCATGATATAGATGTATGGATGGCAACTAAGACTAAAGGTACCGGAGACATGTCATGGAGTAGACTCCTAACAGTGAAACGAACCCATCCACAGCATTTTGTTGCGTTTGGTTTTGGGATGAGTTTCTCGGTCGATCGGAAAGCTAAAGTTTTACTGCATCCCACTAAATATAGGAACTCTACTAACTCCATACACATTTTGGGAGAGAATTATAAACACATACAAGTGGACCTTGATGTTGAGGGAACTACTCCATTCAGGTCTATTCCAACTTTGGTTCAAATTCAACAAGGTTCTTTGGGGCTAAGGCACATGGAAATCACAAAGTTTTCATGATATTTTGATAATTTAAAATGTAATTCTTGCTACTCCAATATATGTTTTCGTTTCACATACCTTTCCAATTCTATTTTTTTTTATTGAATCCAATTCTATTTCTTCTGCAACTGGAACAATTTTGTTGCTTATCTCTTATTATATAAAGCATGTCTTGTCTTAAAAAATCAACAATACCACTGACGACAACTATGTTTTGTGATAGCTTTTGAATAGTCTTAAAAAACTTGGACACCTTAGACCATCTTTATCCCGGTCTCCACACCGTATTCGAGAGGGTGGAGGGCCCACGGTTGGAGAAAAAACGGGCTCCTCTGTTGCAGAATAAGCAACGTTTGCTGGGAAATTTTTACATTGTTTCGCGGGCCCCACGACACGTGACCGCCCGCGATTGATCTCTTCTTTTTTTTTAAAAAAAAAAGCGGATAAAACAAAAAGGAAAAAAAAAAAAAATCTAAAAACCCTCTTACCTCCGTCTCTGCGATATTGATGGTCTTAGCTTTTGTTTCACATTGAGCTTAGTATCCTTTTCATATGGTTATAGTGTTGTGTTGCATTGTAAATTTAGACATGGATACTTTACGGTGTCTTGTCCCATCCACATCCAAATGCACAGTTTTTACAAATCGGCTTATGTAATCAGTTATGAAGGACCTAGGGGGTCCACAGAAGAATATTTATAATAAATTAACATTTGTCTTTGGTAATAAATAATTACTAGGTGGAGGGCCCACACGCATGTGCGGACATTAATATAATCTATACATTGCATGAATAAAAAATAATATAAATGTATAAATATATTGTAACTTTCTTTCTCTTTTACATAGATACTCTGTTTTTTAATATATTTTTCTATCTTACTCATTTCGTTTCTCCTTGTATTTTTTCACACATTCGTTTTGTTTCTTATGTATCTCTCTTTGCATTATTTTGTATGTCTCTGTACACCTCTTTTGCTCTCTTTTTCTTTCTCTCTCTCCCTCTTAGTTGTTCAAATAATCTCAAAATCTCTCAAACTTACATTCACTCTCTCACAATCACATATATTCATTCGCTTACCCTCGTCCTTAATATGATCCTCAATATTTCACTTTAAAACTCTTTTTATCTCTCTTTGGTTGCAAAATTTTCACCAGATTTTGTTAAATCTTCTAAACACTTTTACATAATATTAATAAATGATTTCAGAATCTATCTCACTTATATTCAGTCTCTCACTTATATTCACTTTCATCTTCATTATGATCATAACCGACTCTCTAATCCTTATCATCACCATATCTTCCTCTCTTTCCCCTTTCTTACATATTTTTTATATTTAGAATTTAATATAAAATCACAATTGACTAACCAAATAAATTCATTATCAAATTCTCTCCAATCTTCACACTATCTTATCAAACATTGATTCCTTTGACCAAGATTTTCATTGAAAAAAAATATCTTATTTTTTTTTATAATTACTTCATTACATACATATTTTAAGTAAATCTGAATAACTGTATTTCGAAAAAGTAAATTTGATTAAATAATTATATTACATAAAATATCTTAATTCTTAAATGATGTGATGTCATTATTTTAGACATAAATTAATATAAACATGAGATTCAACAGTTTTAATATATCAAAATAACATGTTTCTAGTTGTATAAATTTTGTTATAACTTTGTTATCATATATTTTAAAAGTTTATTACACTGCAAAAAATACTTATCCTTATTTTAAAATAATTCATTTTATATTTAATTTGCGTTACATTTTGCATCCTCAACATTAACAATTTTATAACTTATCATTTATATTTATCTTCCTTGCTAAATTTTTATTTATGTTGTATAAACACCTAAAAATAATTAGTTTACAATTATATTGATACGTAAAAAATATTTTGGTATACAAAGAAAAAATTATGTATGTACAAATACAAAATAATGAAGAATACAACAAAAGTTTTTATTATTATTCACTCATGTTTTTATTTATGTCTCTTTTCTTGTTTTTCTTATTAAAAATAAACATGCCAATTTTATTATACTTAAAGCTATATGAAATATACGAATAGAGTATTAACTCTAATCATGTATTAATATAATGTTTTGATTTTTTCTAATTTTATATTATAATAAGCTTTTTCATTTATTCATATTTTTAAAAATGACATACCATATAATTTTCTGTTTTAAATATAAAAATACTTAAATAATATTTGAAAGTATAACTCAATTATGGGAGAATTTCAATTATACCACTTTGGTGGTACCACTTTTCATGTTTACCATCAATAAAGGAACATTTTCAAAAATACACATTTTATTAAATGATAAAAGACTCTTATATCCTTGTTTTTTTATATATATACATAAAATAAATATTAATAAAATATTAACCCTAAACCCTAAAACATCAATTCTAAACTCTAGACCCTAAAAATTAAACCCTAAACCCTAAAAATCAACCCTAAACCCTAAAATATCAATTCTAAACCTTAAACCCTAAACTCTAAACTCTAAAAAGTAAACTCTAAACCCTAAAAATCAACACTAAACCCTAAACTATCAATCCTAAACCCAAAACCCTAAACCCTAAATTCTAATAGTATTTTGACTATTAAAATTTTAATGGTAAAGTTGGTTAGTGTAAAGTTGAAAAGTGGTATCTTGAAAGTGTTATTTCTGGCAATTTTCCCTCAATTAGACTATCGACATTTATCTCTGGAAAATGATAGATTTTTTACAAAATTTTACATTTGACAGTTTTGCATTCATTGAACATATTTTAAGAATACATATATATAGTGAGTGAGTATAAAAATATTATCAGTTTTCTGTAATGTATGATTTTTTATCCATTATTAATAGAAAAAAATTTAAAATCGTTTATATACTTATTTCTATAATATAATATGTATTTATATGTATATTCTAAGTTTTTATAATGGAATATGTGATATTAAATTGTTTCTATAAACAAACTCTACTAATCCTATGTATTTAAGATGGTCAATTGTTTGTTTGGTAATATATATTAGATTAGGTAATTCTAAAATTAGTTTCCTTTTAAAAAACTTTAATTAAATGAATAAAAATTTAAATGCTAACAACCAATCAAATTAAAAGAATTAATTCTACATTGCACCTATGAATGACACGTAAGCAAAATTCATTAAAGTGACTTGTATTTTAATATATAGGGGGATTGTAAAGATATAATAAGCTCAATACGAGAAAAAAAAATCTTTAATGTGAACACCCAAAGACCACAAATTCATCTTTGGTTTTTATCAATAAAAATTGTTTGCATTAAAAAAATTATGATTTACTAATCTACATTTTGAGGGTTAAAGAAACTACTATATTAAACAGAGATGAAAGATTCAAGGCCTACAATGATCTCCTAAGAGGCTAATGATGTCTTGTAGCAAACTAAAGTTGTCCAAATTTGATTCAGCGTTCCATCCATTGCTTGGATGTCGATCTTCATTGTCCTTGAGAGTATTTTCACGACCAAATCCTCAAGAACTGTGCTTCTTTCCCCCTTCTTCTCTGTTAAGCTATCACTTAAAAGATAACTTGGAATCTCAAGAAACTAGAGTTACTTGCGTGACAAGAGACCATAATTTATGTCGGATGGTTGGACTT